GTCGAACCAACATGGTTTCTTCTGGTTTCTCTGACAGTTCTATGCTACCAGATTATACTCCCAGGTGGAAAGAGGCACCAGAGCTATCTAGTGTCTGGTTCGAGTACAAACAGTGCACAATGCCCCGCGCAGTGATCACACTCGCCCACTTTCTTGCTAATGGACCAGCGCGTCACGCACTACCCACCGGGTCTCTTAGACTGAAACTTATGGAAGGAAGTCACCCTTTTCGTAGTATACCTCTAATCTTCAGCTTTTGCTCTCTTTCAGAGAAGCCAAACCACTCGAGACTCGCTCTTCAAAGAGACTCACGAACAAAACGCATTTCACTCGTACGCGTCTCACAGATATTACAGAAAACAGCCACACGACATGTTGGTGGGAATCAAGAGGAACGGGCAAATAAAGCGCGCCACCAAGACTTTCCATGGACAAACTGCTACACAATTTCTTGTCATAAAATTTTGATGAAGGATTTAGTTTTGATCATTCTCATCCTTGGAGACTCTGGGGCTGTCAGTCGATTTCTAGGCAAGGCGTAAGAGTCTCCGAGGATGAATTATTCTTAGCTGCACCAACAGATCCTCCTTCAAAATTGCTGACTAAAATTAAATAAAACTTTAAATCCGAAACTACACTGGAAATTTTGCAAAGGCGCATTCGGCCTCGAGTTGTTTCAAAAACAAGCAAAAGTGGGGAAAAGAAAAACTTGACACTTCGTCACGAGTCATTCCATTTTTAATTGGCATGGGTGACAACGCGTCCAACTAAAGGACAAACAATTGTGTTGTGTTATAAAAAAAGAGTCTGATAAACAGAAAGATCGCTTGCTAGCTTCATAGATTTAAGTTAACAACATACATTTTTACTTTATGAACAAATCCTAATTCATCAAACCTTCAATACTTTACGAGACATCTTCGAGAGGCGAGAATTTAATCTCTAGTACCTTTAACTTCCTCTTTGAGGCAGTCTCTCAAAACAAGATTAAAGGGCCTGTCTTTTGTTTCCAGTTTTTTACGAAATTAACTTGTTCTATAAAGAATTAGGAATTGTAAATAAGCGTGACGTTTATGAGTAAGCGGACACAATCCTTCTAAATCGTAGCAATTAAGTAACTTTAAGAGATTTTTACAATGCAATATTTATCTATTTATGAGAATCAAGGGTGTTGGATATCAACTTGTAATTTTTTTTTATCGAAAAGCATTTAAATTATTGCATTGCAAAACGACGATGGGTTAGGAGCTTCTTAATTAAACAGCCATAGTGCCAGGTGTGAAATAGTCACCAATTCGGTTACAGTTATTGTCAGTTGTCTTGCTTGCACCCAGCTGCTTCCTGTTTGGTTGATATGCTTGACCGTGAAAGGTCTGGATTAAGAACTGCTCTCTTGCCACCTCGTACCCAGGACTTGGTACGGGAGAAGTGCATTGTGCCAAGCGATTGTGCATTGTGCCAAACAAATAATGATGAATCAAACTAACATCAGAAACAAAAGAAAAAAGACATACCGGAACAAAGTAAAACAAAAGTCAAACAAGTGTGTAAGTGAATAGAGTAGGAATACGTAAAGTGCTGTAAAGAAAGCAAAAAAATCCTGAGGGTAGTTTTGGCTTCGGAATGAGGTTGGCTCGGAAAGAGATGTTGTCATATCAATGACTGACGTTCTGTCAGCCCAAGCAAAGGTCCTCCTAAGAGAATCAGGTGCGTGAAAAGACTGGTAACAGCCCTCGTCTAAAAGATCACACTTGGTGGACTGTTACTTTTCGACTTCAAAACACTTGCAGTCAAGCACATTGGTGTTTATCTGTGAGTAAGCTTAATAAACGGGCGAGTACTCAGAAATACAGACTAAGCTGTGAAAAACTGTCATTTTAATATCTCCTTTCAACATATATTCTACCTAATGAAACACTTTAATACATACTTATCTTACGAGGCCCTTTTTTTACACGTAATTTTTCATATCAAACAATACCTGACCTCTCCTTACGTTACCTCTACAGGGATAGCAAAAATGTAAAATTTAGCTTCCTTGCTTGTTTGTCAAATCTACAAAAAACTCTTTTTTCAGAAATACTTAATATATTGTAGACGGACTCAACTTTACATATCATACAATGGTTATACAGCTGGTTAATATCTGGAGATAGATGTCGGTATTGCACCCCTGTACTACCAACAATACTGATGGCACAAGACGAAAGTTGTCCTTATTACATGAAGTACGAAACATGATTTTTAACCAAACATAAACAAACAAAACATGGAAAACGGATAATTCAGTGAAAATTTGATTATCCCGCTTTCTTTCGAGTGAGAAATGCTTAAGTAAGGAACAAATATTAATGCAACAAAAGAAAAAAATAAAACCATGATTTTAATATAGAGCAAATTATCGCCACGACGAGACAACTTTCGAGTCATTTTACACTGGCTTGGCCACAACTACATATACAAATGACAACCGAAAACTTCTCACATGTTCTTGGAGAACAAGAATTGTTTCTTATTGCTTCACCATTACAAAAATCAAAAACAAAACAAAAGCGGAATCCAGGCCAACAACGCCACGGACGGAGGACGCATGCGCCGCATTTCACCTGGACAAATAGAAGAGTATCTCCGCCAAATGATTGGTGATTGTACTGTCCAGAACCCGCAAAACAGAGAGCCTTAAGATCCGCTGTTGAAACGGTAAGAAGAGAGCACGGTTTGAGCGTATGCGTGCCAAGCACACTAGCGTCGAAGCAGCCCGGCGTAACATGTCCACACTCGTACCGCAAAAGCTCTCCGAATGAAAGCCGGCCTGTGCCAGGGCACTACCTGACGAATATGCGCTCATGCTGGACGCTGCATCTTCGATAAATTCCAACAACATTGAAATGCACGCCTTGCTGTCGCCGAAACCAACGAAGGAATTCTCTCCTTGTGCCAGGTTGGACAGCAAGACTAGCGCAAGTTCACGAGTCACTGGATTGTCTCTCTCGCCAACAAGTCGAACCAACATGGTGTACAATTCGTCCACCCGCGTCAACGGCGGAGTGGAAAGAATTATGTCGACGTTAGACTCCAGGATGCTCATCTTTGCCAACGCCTCTAGAACCAGCTGTCTGGGGGACAGGGAAGTACCTGGAGTGGCTGTAGGCATTGGATCCTGAGCAGCAGCCGACGGACAGACGAACCAGTGGAGCAGCCCATCCAACAGAGGAAGACTGATGGCCTCGGGATACAGAGACAAGTCCAACTGGCCGGCTACATTGGCCGTTATCACCAAAGCGTTCTCACGCAGACCTTCCAAGCAGTACCACCACCAGTCGTGACGATCGTCGCTTGGACACTCCACCTCGATCTCATCCTGAAGATAGGAATGCCGGTAGGGAACCCGTTTGGAGTGTTTATGATGAAGAAGTAACAGCCGGCCAACGATTAGTAACAATCCTGCGTGGCGCGACATTTCAGCGTCGTTTCCCGGAACAAAGGAAAGTCCACGGAGAATGTTAGACACACAAAGGCAGCGCCGCGACACGGCGTCCTGGCTCTCAGTTCTTAAGCACAAAGGTGCATCTTCCTTGCCGCACGACTGCTCTTCAACAACTGCATCCTGTTTCACGTTTATTTTACTAACAACTGATTGAATATAAGCGTCCGATTCTGTATCCTCCTCGTCAGAATCTAGGTCTAAGTCCAGTTCCTTTTTTAACCGCGCGGTAAACTGTTCTACTTCGCTCACTCTGTTGCACTTATCATTTTCTCGAGTTTTTAATTTCTCCTGTGATGGTTCTTTCTCCTTTTTAACAACAAAGTCAGCTTTTGATTCGCCCTCCTCTACCACAGGAGAGGATAGATTGGTTTTCAGTTTACTAAAATTCCCACCGCATTTGATTTCGTTTGCACAACAATTGTCATCTTTACACTCAACTGATGAATTCTCATCGTCATTTTCAGTCCGACTTGTTTTCTCGTTCTCAGCTTTTACTTCCCCTTCACAATTCTCCTCAGTTTCGGAAAGAATTACATCTTCGCTGCAATCAGTTTCTCCTCTGCAATGAATTACCTTGGTCGAGTATTCTGGTCTCGTTTTGAAGTCGAGGTGTGTTTGAATATGACGAGTGGTGTCTCCGCCTCCCATGAGCCAGTCGCCGGATCCGCTTTGAAATCCATCTTTCGGAATATCAAACGTGGATGCTATCAAGAGAGCGGTAAAACTATTTTTGGCGGCTCTGTTTAACTTTTCAATCTTTTCTTCGTCTTCCTCCTTTCGCGCAATTTGTAAAACCACCGAACCAACGCTGATCTCACTCTCGACAAATGTATCAAAAATGTCAATCAAATAACGTCGGAAGTGATCGATAAGGTTATCCAAGAGACCCGGCAGTTGGGATAACATGAAATACAGCACCGTGTTGTCGTCATAGAGCAGAATGTTAAGGGTATCTAGTGCCCAGGTTGCCTCTGATAACAAGCCGGATTTCAAAGACATCATTACCCTCCATGCTTCAACGGGGCCTAGAAAAGAAATAAAACCGTTTTTAACAGCTTCAGTTGGCGGACTCGCTCGGCGCCATAACATCTTGTCCGCTGTGATAACGAAAATCGTTGTTGATAAGAGTACAGAACACGCCAAACCACTGTCGATTTGTTTTGTTCCGTTTTTTTTTTTTTTAACCACAACATCGACGGCAAATAAAACAATTCTTTCAATGATAAAGGCATTGCGTGACACGTTGAAGCGAGTAGCGTTGTCTACACTATCATCGACAACGGCAAATTAGTCAGTGATATTGCGATATTACTGCCAACTGTGGTAAAACACTGCGTCAATCAAACGTCCCCGAGGGGTAACAGGCGTTCATAAGGATACTGTAAAATTATCACCATCATCAATTTAAAACAATTAAAAAGAAAAAAAAAAACATCAAAAAGTATTGGAGGAAAACTGATATCTCCCCTGAGTTTTCGAGAATCATTTTCGCGAAAGACAATCACCAAAATTACCTATTAAAGTAAAGTCTGTTTACGAGCCAGAGGCCCATCAGGCCGGCACTTAAACTCCGGTTTCTGTAGCATGAAGCGACTAGGAGTATTTCTAGTCCATCGCAGGGTTACCCCCCAGCATTAAATTTGCCGGTACCCATTTAAACACCTAGGTGAAGAGAGGCACTGTGAGAGTAAAGTGTCTTGCATAAGAACACAACACAATGTTCCCGGCCGGGGCTCGAACCCGGACCACTCGATCCGGTGTCGAGCGCACCAACCATTAGGCCACCGCACCTCCACAAAATAACCTATTGCAGATAGCAATAGTAGGGAAAGGAAGCATCAAAGGCGCTTTACTCTACTCTTTCCCTTGATGTTTGTGTCGGGTAAGACAAAACAAATAAAACAAAACGTACCCAAATCTCTGGAAGTGAGTTTGCGCTTCTTCGTAAATACAGGCCTTGTGGCCTCGACACAGTCATTTGGAAAAGGCATCTCTCTCTTCACAGATGACGTGTGAGTTTGTTGTTGTTGGTGTTGCTGCTGTTGCGACGGTGGATGTGCCGTTTGTTGCACAGGATACTTCATTTTTGGCAAAGCCTGGAGCGGCGGCGCCTGTGCCATAGGCTGTCTCGACGAAGGAGATGGCGAAGGACTAGGGCGATATGGTGGCGTTGCTGAATACTGGTTTTGGCGGCCTGCGTAAGAGCCATACGGTGGTGCAGGGGAGTACTGGGATTGAGGCCCGCTAGAGGAACGCGGAAGTCTGTTGTGCGCCCCAGGGGGGTAGTCTACAATGTGTTCAGGTTCTGCTGATGGGCTGTACTGAGAACCCCACAATGAATGCATCTTATCTTGAGGGCTCGCATTGGGCATCATGGAATGAGGTGATGCCAGAGATCCCATCAATGACGGGCTTGACCGCTGCTGGTACTGTGCATGCTGGTAGTTCGTCGCTGGGTGGCTTGCTTGTGAGTTGGACTGCTGATAGAACTGCGACAGGGACGAAGGGCCCTGATACATGTTACGCTGCGACATTATGTAAGGGGGAAGCCCTCCACTTTGAGGGTGACTTGAAATACTGCTCCTTCTCTCTCCACCGTAGGAGTATTGGGGCATTCCAAATGGACTGGAAGGCGTGGGAGGGTTAATTGGAAAACTGCCAGAACTTTCTCTAAATTCTGAATACATTTTGCCGCTATCATAACTGGGCTCAGGGTATCCGTCCTTCACGTTATAGCTTGGAGGTAAATTAGAAACAGAGTCATTTGTCATTGAGCTGTAGGATCCGTGAACTGGCGTGGTGTCTGCTGCTCTCGAGGTCTGCGTTAAACTGTTGGTTGGTATAATTGCCTCTGAGCAAGTGACTGTTGCGTTGGGTGGCGGAATACCTGAACCTTCCAGAAGATTGATTTTAATGTCGTCAATGGAGTTACCTTTACTGAATTTCATCTCGTAAGACAACAGATATCTGGAGTACTGACTACGAAGATGGTTCACAACATTCGGGTTGTCTGTTGGAAGATTCATAGCCTCTAAAACTTCCTGCCAGAGTTTTCTCTTGACCACCTGATACAAAGAACAAAAAAATTACGTCTAGCGTGCTGTCGCGTGGAAGAACACTGATTCAAATGTACACGCAATGAGTACGCAAATACACGCATGATTGATGGAGATAAGGACTTTCAAGAAGGGAATTAGTATCGACTGTAATGAAAAACCAAACAAAAAAGGTATAACTCTTCAGCTCTTCGATTGAATGCTGGCGTTTGCTGGATGTAAGACTCTCAACCCACTGCACATTCTTATACAATTTTTCCCCACAATAATTTCGCTGCAAGCAATTGACCACTGAGCAGAGTGGGGTATTATCAGTTCTAGTCTCTGTTACCACCACTTGACAATCACGTTAGCACGGCAGTAATAAATAATAATAAAACCGTCATCAAAAAGCTACGGTTTAACGGAACTCACTTCCTGTAAACCACCTCTTTCCTGGACAACAGTGTAGAATTTAAAGAGATCCAGCGGCTGCCTCATCACGAGCGGAACTTGGGTGATTTGTGTACCTATTAACAATAAAAACAGTAATAAACAGAAATCCAAACCCTTCAACTCCTAAGAAAGATTGGCTTCTAATTTCTCCTTCAGGGTTCGCACCCTTTTTCAGAAACAAATTTTAACGAATTTCCAGGACTTTTTCAGGCTCAGATTGATCTTTCCAGGACTCTAAATTTGACCTTTAACCCTGTCATTCCCGAGATTTCAAAATCAATTCTCCTCCTTATGGTCTATACACATTTCTTATAACGTAAATTTTGAAAACTTTATTGCTTGATTTAATCAAATTTCCAGGACTATCCAGACCCTGTGGTCTTTTTCCAGGACTTTCCAGTCTTGGAAATGGAAAATGTCAAAATAAAATTCCCGGACTTTCCAGGTTTTCCAGGACCCGTACGAACCCTATCCTTACGTAAACGTCATGGGAATAAAGGAAATGGTCATCACCCTAAGAAGCTTTGATTATAAAACAAATTCTCCTTTTCAGTACCAAAGGAAATGTATAGAGAACAGTATGGAGAATAGCAATGCTCGTGCTTGGGTCTAAAAAGTTAAAGTAGTGACAGGATTTAGGGACCGCGAGGAAACATTGTGTGACACAAACTTTCCTACCACCAAGGTTGAAATGAGTTCCTGAGAGCCCTCACATGGGATGCAGTTCACATATTTGATTTCCTTATAATTCACAATTATTCATCAACTCAATTGATAAAAACAAATTATCTTGCAATACCCTCCACTAATGCAGCACCAAACTTTCAATAGAAACTTAACCCCGTCATTCAAACTTCACTTCATTGCCCACTGATGAAATAGGGGCACCAATAGTCGTGTTTTCCATTAGTTTTCAAGAGTACATAGATACTTAAGGTGAATAAAGGCTGATAGTTTCGAAAGAAACTTCAACTTTGCTGATATATCCAAATTATACTTAAGGTGACCACACATTCATTACCTTGACTGTTCATGAAAGCTTGATACTTATTGAGAAACTCTTTCCTCTCTGGTTCATCAGAGAGTTCATACAACTTGGATAACTGAAAGAGTTAACGAAATCATACAACAGGTATCAAAGAAATGAAAGGTAAAGAAAAGTATTTAATTTTGATGACATCTAGTGTTTCCCATTTTCTCACATGCATGGAAGGAGGGTGCTTGGGTTATTATGGGAGCTTCCACTGTGTCTCACCTGTCCACAGATAGGATACAACTCCTATGACTGGAGCCTTGAAAGCCCAGCAATGAGCCTCCAATTTGAGGCACCCTTATAATGTTCGATCAGTGGAAGGAAAAATCTGAGGGTGGGTGGGCTGGGGGATTGCTTGACACAATTGGAGTGAATTGCTCAGGATTACACGTCACTGCTTCCACAACCAAGATCCAATCCAAACACAGATCCCATGTTCCACAGGAGCTCACAATTGTAACAATGATTGCTGAACAAGAATCACTGCCAAGCTCCTAGTGGTGAACTTCATTAGAAGTAGATGCCACAAAATTTTAATGACCAAAAAAATCAGTAAACTAAAGTGAACTAGAAAATGCTTACCTTTTCATATTGCTGTTGGTTCTGTCTGGATGATGGAAACTGGTATGATGACTAACAATTAAAACACAAATTAATCAAAATCGACTGCAGTTGTGATTTTGAAGAGAAAATAAGCAGACCTTAGTATGAAGGTGTGTACTGAGGTGTATTATAAAATGTATTTGCAGGGTTGAGTGTGAAGTGGCAGTATATTCTCTCTGTGTGCATAAAAAGCAGCTCAGGGCATCAAAATCAGCTAGAGGATTCTATGCACAAAGGTGGAATTCTTCACTCTTTGAATTGATGCCTTGCAAACACAATGTATTTTGCCAAATGCTATAAACAGGATTTCAAAAATCTTTAAATGGTTCTGCTAAGTTTTTCTCACAAAATTTTTGTAAAACTTAATTCACACTTCTCAGAAAAACATGAAAAAACCTTTTTATATTGTGTACTTCAAACATAATCCAATGTTAGTATGAGTACAAAAATAATTGACCATTATTGTCCAGTTACCTCTTCCCTGTACACACAAGGTGGCAAACAAAACAAAAGATGACAGATACCGACTAACCATTGAGATGGAATTGTTTGGAAGTGAAGGGTTGATTTCATCCAAGTCAATCTCAGCATTACCAAATGATGATGTAATGGAAACTCCTGAAGGAGACACTCCAGGAGAAAGGCCAGAAAAATTTGATAGAGGTGAGGATGGGGCAGACGGAGGGGAATCCCCTTTTTCCACAGCAGGGGTCAAGTCCAAAGTGGAACTTGTAAGTTCACGCGAATCTGTGTTACTATTTGGGCCTTAAAAGCAACAAACACATTTGTTCAGTTGTTGTTACAACCACGGCTAGAGTTACTCAACAGGCCTTTCTTCTTCTCAATAGGCTGTTGGCACACTCCATATATTCCTCCCCCTCAGCTGCAGTCAGTTTCAGGCATTAAGTTTTTTCTTGGAACAAGATTCATCCTCAATCTAGCAGCTCATTACACTTTTGGACCTACTTGTTGAGACAGTTGTAGCCCCCCCTCCCCCCCCCAAAATGTTGGATCAACATTAAACCTTGAAACTAATTATATAAACTCCAGGGGGAGGTGGGTGGGGTGGGATCCAGAGAAACAGACAGATGCTGAGCTGGACACGATGTACAGAGAGTGCCACCCAACTACATGCACATCTGGATGTATAAACAAAGAAAACTGCACTCCATACACACAAAAAAATTGCATCCAACAGCATGGTGCAGTAAGCACAGTTATAATCTTAAAGTGCACCTAAACCCAAAAATTTTTTTTGCTTAACGAAATAAGCGTATTTTTTGGAGTATTTCTGAGCAAAAAGTTTTTTATTTGCTCAAATCTTCAATTTTCAGTGCCCAGTCAAAATAGGGAAAATCGGCTGCCATCTTGCCCCACGACCAAGTTTAAAGAGGAATGGCTCTAGCGGGTAATGTGTCGTCAAATCGAGAACACGAAAGTCTGCATTTCACACATTTCACTTGTTTGGGAAGGTTGTAGTTGATATTGTCCTAAATATTCTGACTAAGTGTGTTGTAGAAGGATGTAGCAATGTGCAAAATTTGCAAGAGCGCTTCATAGATTCCTCATACAACACACCTAGTCGGCATATTTCGGACAATATTGACAACAACCTTCCCAAACAAGTGAAAATGTGTGAAATGCTGACTTTCATGTTCTCGATTTTACGTCACATTACCCGCTAGAGCCATTCCTCTTTAAACTCGGTTGTGGGGCAAGATGGCGGCTGATTTCCCTATTTTGACTGGGCACAGAAAATTAAAGATTTGAGCAAATTAAAAATTTTTGCACAGAAATACTCCAAAAAATAAGCTTATTTTGTTAAGCGAAAAAAAAAATTTTGGGTTTAGGTGCACTTTAAGGGCAGTGTACTGTTACCTTCATTCAAGACAATCTCTTCTGGTACTTGTATAAAAACAAAGTTTTTCCATGGGAATACAGCGTACAAAAATGAGTGGTTACCACAACTTACAGAAGCTCCCACTATAAAGATCCTCTGCACTGAGGCAACCTTTATGTATGAAACTACATGTACATATGCTTAAAATTTAACAATCTTACCATTTACAGGGGTTCCTTGTGGCTGTGATGGAGATGATGCCACAGGTGTAGGTAGCGATGCAACAGATGGAGGAGCAGAACCTTGAGAGGGTGGCTGCTGTTGGTTGTCATTTTCAGTAGGAAGTCCAGCTTCTTCTGCCCTCATCGATTCAATCATGGCTTCTACATCCTCTGCCGTTGGAAGTTCATTAAGTGTTGGAGATGGTACACGGCCTATGAGGAGGCAAGATCAGAAGGTTTAGAAAAGAACTCCATTTCTATTAAAGTGGTGTATAAATTAGTGTAAATTCAATTCTAAAGCCCCTTATTAAAATGATCACACACAATCATTCAACATTATGTTTATCAGACTAAACATAGAATAGCTACTGTAAAAGAGCACAAACTGTTGGATCAGAAATCAAATATAGTTTGATCCCACAATAAGCTTTCTGCATAGTGCACTGTTCTATCAAGTGTCATAAAACCAAAACAAAAGTTATCACAACTGCCAATCAGAAGAAAGGAAAAGACCTTTAAGGGCCAATGAGAACTTAAAGTAAAAACAACCCAACTCCCAAAAGCACAGGAAACACTGGCGACCAAGTTGTGATTGGTTTAAATTTTGTGTCCAATTGGTGGAGAAAGTGGCACAAGGTTTCTGTAACAATCACAGAGCAAAGTAAAGCAAAATCAAAGTATTCTAGGATTACTTTCGACACTCAATTGAAAGTTGCTCTATTAACCCTAGAATTGCAGCTCCTTATTTTTTTCTTTTTCTTCCTTAGTCTTGTATTGATATCAGAGGTGTTAAACAATCATTTACTCATGAAACCATTACAATGTAGATAGTCACAAAATTGAGGCTAACCTGTTTGAACGTTTGCACCCATCATAGACCCTAACTGCATAGGGGACATTGCTGAAGCAGGCATGTTCTCTGATCCTTTACTGCTCAACATCATCTCCTGAGGACTGACATAGGGAGGACCAGGACCCTGTGCTGCTCCGGGATATCTTGGTCCAGAGTTAGCAGCTTCAAGAACAGCGGCAGCAGCAGCTGCAGCAGCTGTTCCACCCACAGCTGATCCAGCTGTAGAGCTTCCCACACTAGCTGGAGGTAGGCTGTTGCCAGATACTCCCGCAGCTGACATTGGGGTTCCTGCCATTCCAAAAGGAGGAGGCATTTTGCCAGGAGGATAAGTGGGCATACTTCCTGTGGATGTCGGGCTGTCTGTACCAAAATTGGGCATACCACCTGAAGGAGAAGTTCCTTCAAATCAAAATTGGGGGAAAATTAAACATAAGGTTGACTCTTTTTAGCTGAATAACTTGGGTACTGGTTGTGTGACGAGTGGATAACACAAGGGTCACACCTATCTTTAGCTGGTGCTACATTAGTAGTTATCCTGTATTTTGCACACTACAGCCCTAGTTCCAAACTTTCATTCTCATTACTAAAGTAAAATGAATTTTAAAGTAGGTTTATAACACATTCGGGAAAAACTAATCAAAGCAAACAAATGCCTGTTCATTTTAAGATCTTTAAGGAAAGAAGGGTACAATCAGGCCAAAGTAGACTATCTGTTTCTAAATCTGGTTCTACCAAATATATTATACGGGCTGCCCGTATTTGGCGCTGTAAATTCCGAATTAACAACAATCCAATGTTTCTTAGATCGATGTTATAAGCCCAAGTATACATCCGAACACATTAATGTCTATGAATTGTTAGATCAACAAGACACACGTATCTTCAAGAATTTTTTTAATAATACAATACACCCTTTAAGAGCTAAAATGCCAAAAAAGAAATCAACCAAGTACAATCTGAGGAAAGAGACAAGTCACCATCCTAAAATTAACACTGATAGGTTAAAAAACACATTTGTCAACCGCTTAATTTTTAAACATAATCTAGTCTTATAATTTTTATCTGACTTTCTCTGTAATTTATATATATAGTTTCTTTTAACCTTGTAACATAGGATATGTGATTATTTATCTTATGCCTAAAGATTCAATTTCAAGATTCAAAAAATTTATCTGAAGGACACCTCTATTACATATGTGTGCATACAGATACCAAAAGTATGCTGACAACTCAATAGGAAAATGTGACTTCCATTTTCATCACATTTCATGTTTACTATTGACACTCATATTAGGGTAAGTACAGTTATAAGTGTTATTCTGTCAACTAATACAACCAGATTTGGAGGATTATTAAGTCAGTCCTCTCTGAGATTTGACAACCAACTACTGTTGATCTCCAATTTCAGAAGTTCTTGATTGCCAATCAAATTCTCCTTGTCAGTACCATAGGAATTGTAAAGAGGACAGTGTGGAGAATACATTTTCCAAACACTGAACAAGCGTTAGGGTGCAAGTGGTTACTGTAAAAACCCGCGGATAAGTCGCACCTTTTGTCCAAAAATCGTTGCTAGAAATTGGGGGTGCAGCTTACCTGCGGTAACATTTGAAAAAGGTGTTGGGAATGTCAATGCCAAATTTTGTTAACGCGTCCAATCTAATGCCTGGTTACTAAACTCTGAATGCTTCACTCACGTTCTTGTTGTAATGCAAAAATCTATGGAAAAACTGTGTTGAATAAAGAAATTTCTCTCAACAAATACCAGAAAAAGATCAATCTATGTCAAAGTTGGTAGAAACAATGTTCATTATATTAAAGTGTTAAAATTGTGGGTAAGACTTTGAAGTATTTTCTGTTGCAAGGTTAATAGTGAGTTTGCATTCGATGAACAGTGGATGAAGAAGACTTCTCAAGACTCGCTTTTGGATTTCTTTCAAAAAACTTTTTTCCAAAATTTGAGCTGCTAAATTCAGGGTGCAGCATTATCCACAGGGTTTTTACGGTAATTTAAATCGATACTTACCATCAGCTACACCTCTCATGGGTGAGCCCAAAGTGATGTTGGGAGAAGGTGTGTGCCGGGAGTGAAGAGACACTGGAAAAGCTGGAGGATTACTGCGCTGGTATGCCCCTTGACTGCTTCCATATTTAGCCAACATCTCTGAAGAAGAACCCATACGACCCATTGATGTGTTGCCATATGATTGAGATGCTGATGGAATTCCATGCTGCTGTTGATCAGCTATTCTGCTGGAGGGAAAATCTGGACCGGGAAGATTGTCTCCTACATTACTGCTGGGGTATCTCATACCCGTAGAGCTGCCAAACAAGTCGCCTGAGGCTGGTTTGGGGAGGATTGGTTGTGGATGGGAGGACGGCATCCGTGGCATTCCAGTTGGAGGTTGTGGATAAGATGGTTGCTGCAGTTGTCTTTGTTGCTGTTGAGCCATGTAAGACATTTGCTGTTGAAACTGAGGCTAGAGGTGAGGAGCAAATGTCAACAAAAGATGATAAAATAAATGCAATAGAAATGCACCAAAAAAAAGTGGGGGAAAAAGCTCTAAATTTTGATTGTTTTTTATGACACTTGCCATTTTCTACTCTGTAAACCCAAAGAGTGACCAGCAACTAATATCTCCTAAAACAGTAACTCTGCTGAATCATTCATTAAGATCATGGGAACAAAGGAAATGATAGTTTACCAAAGAAGCTCTAGTTGTTTAAGAGGTCTTCTTGCCAGTACCAAAGGAAATTGTACATTAAAGAGAATGAAGAATATGGACATTGATGTTGGGGTATAATATAGGATTAAGCAGGTTGTCGATTTGATGTCTGCTTGGTATAGCACAATCAGACTATACAATTAAAAAGTTTTACTGATTAAATCCTTAAGTACTTTTGAAGATCACACTTACAATAGAAAATAACAATTTCACTTACTTGGGGAAATCTATGTTGCATTTGCTGTTGCTGAAAGTTTGAAAAGTCTTGTGGAGGTGTCTGCATTTGATTTGCCATACGTTGTGGGTGTCCTGAGAGATTTGCTTGGCCAACAACCTGCCTACCCATGGGCATGTTGCCATAGTATTGCTGAGACTGTGGCAAAGCTCCTGCCTTCATTCCTTGTTGCTGCTGTTGCTGCATCACGTATGATGCATATGACTGCTGGGGGCCAGCTTGTTGGGACTGTGGTTGATGTTGTTGTGGTTGTTGTTGTTGCGAACCACCCATCATCATGTAAGGAGACTGTTGCTGAGGAAGTCCCTGTTGCTGCAATAATAGTGAAGAGGGGTTATATATTTTTCTATTAGTGTATGAACACAGAGCTCAAGTCTAAGGCTGTATGAGAAATCACTGTCAAATTATTTCACTACTTCAGACAAGAAGTTTTAAAGTAGTACTTATTTGACAACAATGCATACACTGGACTAAACTGGGTAGAATTTCATCATTCTTTGATACCTTAATTAAGTTTACACCCTACAATTAGTATTTATATTCTTCACATTGTTCTCGTTATATTTTCTCTGGTAATGCTTAGGAGAGTTCAGACTTTGTTTGACCATAAGGAGCATAAAAAAATAGGTGATGATTTTATTTATTCTTATCTCCTTTGCATTTGATTCAAACGTAATACCGTGGGGAGAAATTAGGAGCCAGTCACTCTAAGAGGTTCTAAGGTTGAAGGCACTAAAAGGATTGCCAAAGGGTTGAAAGAGGGTGAACAGAGCGAATCAAAAGATGCCTTATAACAAAAACATTGTCTAAAGAAAAAAAAATTAAACAAATTAAAAATAAGCAAAAGGCAAAACAGTAAAAACTTCTGTCACACAAATCTAATTTTCCTGGTGGATAGCACCAAGACCAAATTACTTACAGTGTATGTGATTGTTTTGAATAAAGGCTGATAGTTTTGAAAGAAACTGTTTGGGGAGAAGGGCTAACGCTCGAAACGTCAGCTTTTGCAATCATTACGGTGGCCAATTTACCATTTCAACTTTGTTGATATATCCAAATTATGTGATTGTTTTTTTTTTTTTCCAAAAAAAAAAAAAAAAGGATATGTTTTCAGATAAATTTCAATAACTTAGATAATTTTTTAAAGCATACATGTATGATACTGCAATGTGTTTTGGATGATAAAAAGATCATTTGCATGTTTGGTTAAAATGCCCCCTGGCTGAGACAATCTTGAATGAATTACAATGTAGATTTTACAGTTAGAAATTTTCCAGAAATTTCTACTGGGTAAGTTCTTAAACCTCTTCAACCTGTTTTTGGTAATACTGTTAAGCACCCCTTAAAATGATGTTGGTTCTCTACTTGACAAAATATCTTAAGTCAGGCATAACCTGAAGTTCTGAATCGGAACTTGGAAAATTTGGAATATTTGTCTACTGGGCATTTCTCTGCAAAATTTTGTGTAACTAACCAATCCCTGATTGATTCGCTCCGATGAAGGGCTAACACTCAAAACGTCAGCTTTTGTAATCATTACGGTGGCCAATTTACCATTTCAACTTTGTTGAAATATCCAAATTAATCCCTGATTAAGTTTGCCTGAGGTTTTTCAGAGAGAATTGAGTCAATATTTAGTGTTGAGAAATGGCAATTTTGTGGTATGCTCAACTTCAGATGTTTCATCACCAAGAGAACAAACATGTTTTCTCAGAATTGATTGACTTTTTAAAACAAACATCTGCCACACTCAAGAAGTTTTTAAAAAACCTCTTTGTGGAAATGCATTAAAAGAAAAATTAAAATTTATTCTCCACCAATTCACAAAACTTTTAATGGTTTCTAAAGTTACTGGCCACCCACATATTGGAGAAGTTATTGGTATTCATAACATGTACATGCATGCTAAGAGTGTTACAGGTAACATGATAGCAAAAAGAACTTTTCTTTGACGACAAAGAATCAGTTCAGATACTGAAATTAACTACAATCTGATGCCCTAAAACAACTGCATGGCTCAAAAAATTTCATCAATGAAATGCATTGGTTCTGAAGAGAACCTATCTTAAATCAACCTCAACTCATATTATTGCGATAAAATATTTTGCAATCAGGTGACTTGTTTTTTTGTTAAGCTGTGTCTATTTTGGCTGATTCAGTTTGTCATCTGAAACAAAACAAAACTGAAATAATTCTATATTTTGTATCTGAATCAAACCATCATCTTGCCTAGCTCAAATAAAACTACTTACTTAGCAGTGGCTCTTGAAACAATGCATGAATCTCATGGACTGAACAATCATTTGCCAGAAAGCTATAATTGCTCATGGCCCTGAAAATTGGACGTAGTGGATTTGATTTTTCTTGAGCTGAATTTAGTTTCCAACATGGAGTTAAACTTCTGGCCCCGGTTGTTTAAAGGGTGGATAATCCTATCAACAGGATAAATTGCTTTCCTTGTTTTGTTGACACTCATCTGCTGGGTAGTGTTATTGGCAAATCAAACAACCAAGCCCTAGTTCAAAACAAAGAGTTTCCTTTGTACATTCAAATTCAGTATGGCTTACAGTTAACTCTGAGCCTGACATGGCCCTATCTGGCTAAGACACAGTTCACTTGTAAAAACAGTAGGGATAATGTATTGCAGCACTTTCTTTAACGTCAAAATCGCTTTTTGAGAAAGAAAATTTGTTCGCTCTTAGAAAACTTAATCACACTTTTACTTTCAACATCTTCAGCTAACTACAATAAGAGCAAAAGAAATGGAGCTTAAATTACCAATATTCAATGTTCTTTTATCACCACATTGTTAGGGTTGAAGCTATAAAAATTACACTGCCAGCAAAATTCAAGTGAGGAGGCTCAAAGGTGGCAAATGATTGTAAGGGCATAACCTCTGAAGTATCTGCTGTGCTTTAACCAGCAATTGCTGGCCAAAAGTTCAGCCAGTGATTGCAGCTTTTTCATCCAGCAAATTTTGCCAGCAGCCAGTGCTTAGTGACAACCTTTTATTGTACTCTGATACCTATCTGAATAAAGGGGGTAATTTTCTACACAAAACTGTGGTGCTGTGCCAGTGGGGGGTATAGCAAGATTGTTTGGTTTTAGCAACTGAGATGATGATAAAAATTGGCCATCATGAAGGGTTTCAAACGCAAATAAAACATATCTATTTTGGGGAATTTCAGGAACATTTTACTTAAATAAAATAGCTAAACCTACATTGCATTATATTCTAAAGTGATTTGGCATCAACTTTGTAAAACTTATAAGCAGAGACGTTTTTGAGATATGGACAGCAACTGAAAGAAGAATAAAACTAACTTTGATGCCCTCTAACCCTTTTGTGTCAACTCTAAGGTCTTGGTTTTTTAAATTAGCACTTTAAACCAAAGTGTGCGAACCAAAAAGTTGTATTGAGCCTTGGGACTAAGAACTGTTAACTTTTGACTGTATTTTATATCTTGAAAACATTGTACTCAGGCTGCCTATTATCAATTCTTAACGCTGGCTTTTTTATTTTCCTTCACTGCCAGAACTGAGAATTCACTGTGTAAGATCAAACACTGTAAATAAGTAGATTCTTGTTTTCTTTTCACCACTTCTCTAATCAAACAATATTGCAAGCTGATCTCTAATGCTTTTTTTCCCTAAAAACTCCCTTTTTTGGCCACATTACCAATTTACTTAATGTCTGTGAAATAAAAGCTTTATTAAGGAAAGATGAATATTAGACCAAAACACCATGCCCTCAAGGTCATCATAAATACTATCTCACATCAATATTTGAGTTTTAAGCAAAAAAAAAAAAAAGAAATACATGTTATAGCAAAATAGGGATAACTGTATTACTATTGCTCTCATACTCCTCTCGAGTAGCATGTCATGTACAGTTTACACTGCTTAGCTTCTCCTTCAGAGAAAGCTATGCCCAGGTTAGAACACAGCTGAACACCTACGCATATGAAAACCAAGAAAAGGATGTAAACATACCACTCAGACAAAACACATAACTTTATGACACCAGCTGTTTGCCGATCTAAAATTGGAATTACTTGTGCTAAACTTCTTAACTAGGCCCTGGTTCAAAATTGTAGTCAAATCAACAAATCCAAAGTCATATGCAAACAAAACTAAAAGAGGAACTTCACTTCAGATATCTTTCTCTTTACAAAGACAATCATGGAAGAACTTCCATTTATAAGTACAGATTGCAAAAGTGGTAACCCTGCATGCATTTATTTGTGGTACTCTGTTTAAATACTTTGTAAGATTTTTTTTTTTGGATACTATTGTGGGCGAAAGATTTGAAAGTTAAATTTACTCTCAAGTTTTCAAACAAACTTTACTCTTAACGTCTGCCCTGAGCTAAAAATCTTGATAAATCTTACATACATAAGGGAACTAAAAGTAAAACTAATTAAAAAATTTTGCTCAAGAAAAATTTTAGGTCAATCTACAAGCATTTATGTGGAAATGTAAATAGATAAGCAAGGACTGGTTTTCATATTCCTAGCAGATGGTAACCAACTGCTACAAAGGTAAGTGCACTTGTTTCAGTAGCAACAACCAACATCCTGTAATTGCATTTTAAAGCATGCAGAACTTAGCAACACTGTAATGGATTTGAAACATCATGAAAATCCTTCCCTTGACACTCAAGAATTCATTAGGATGGAAAAACCAAACTTGCTCCATGAAAAAGTCCCCAATCAAAATATGCAACAATCTATATATATATCACACCCCCTAAAGTGCTAAATACCTGGTCCTTTTTGGAAAGTTACTTGTAATTTTAAACATCAAGGTAGACTAACTTAGCATAAAACTAAAAATCATGGCCATAATAATTTAACTAAAGGAATATCTAATGTGAGTGACCAGTGAATCTCTCTAAGTAAAGAAAAAGATAAGCCTTGGTTAATGTGTAAACTGTGCCCTCATTTGGTATTACTTGAAATTGCTACTTCCTTTTCACTGGGACAAAACAAGAAAGTTCATCTATATTGTGACATTTCACACAGAAAATATTGTACTTGTATATTGGCCTGTACATTGAGAAAGACTATTGAGAGCATTGTTAATCAAGCAAAAAGGGGTAACAGAGCTCAAGATAGTTAAGAAAGCAGAAACACAAATTGTAGCCTGTGTGCAAGGAACTCAAGGATGAAAAACAATTACTGCAGTATTCTAAGGTACTTTGAGACAACAATGTGATTGAAATTCAGCCTAATAGCCACCTATTCTAAAACTGGACTACTGTCTTGGAAGCTTTGAATATCACTGGCTTGATCAAAAATCCAAAGACCTAACAAGCTACCTAGATTGAAATTGAAACAAGTTCATTGCAAGGAGGAAAAAGCAAGAAGTTCATATCACCATAATCATATCGTACAGTAGTTATTTAAATAAGATACGACTGCCTTGAAATGTCTTGCACTGTTTGGAACAATAACTCAATTTTAAATTTAAGCTGTACATGAAAATCAAACAAAATGAGATGTAACAACAAAAGCACTTTAGACAGACAATGAAAGGCAACAGGACAAAGACACAGTAACCCTTCACATTTCTACAAAGAAAGGTCAATAAAATGTTCTCCAGATTAATCCCCTGGAGGCCAATGAGTGATCTATGTCTGAAGCTGTCTGCATTTATTTATAAATTGACACTTACACAGCCAATCAGACGAGCAGGTAGATAAATTTCACAGGTGGTGAACCAAGTTTAAATTGTATACAAAACTGTACACAAAAAATATCTTCGCCGGCTCGAACTCGTACGTTACAAAATCGAAACTCACTTCTTTCGGAGCACTAATGCTCGCTTCGAATCGGTTTTTATTCCGTTTGTGAAATACGATCGCCCTCGCTCAAAATTCAAGTCCGCCATTATGAATATTCTGATGATAAATATTTCAAACGCACGTCTGCTTTTACTGGGCGACTAGTTACCCCTACAATCTCCCACAAATGAACGGCGAACGCCTTAAAATACCTAAAAATGTAAACAATCTCTAGACGGTAGTAATCCCCTCTTACCTGCAATTGTGCACGACTCATCGGCGGGCCGGGTGAAGTATTTGTTGGTAAATTCGACGAACAATGGTTCGTCGTCTGCAGTCTATTCTGCCACTGAAAATGCTGATTTGTGATCATGTTTCTCTCATCTGGTTGCGAGTTGGGCGCTCTTTGCCCAGCTTGAGGCGCACTCGATTTCTGAGTGTAATAATTTGGATGAAAAGCGCTTGTTGGTTGGGAATTTAACCCTCGTTTGAGTTGATTTTCACTCTGCGCAGACATGAACCTTTGTTGGGAGCCATATTGTTCGGTTGAGTTCGGCGCTCTAGGTGCGATGGGAACTTCTTGATAGCCTCGCAGTAGCATTTCCTGTCTCGAGTTGAATTCATTGTACCGGGTTTGTGGTGATAAACTTGGTTGATTTGATGCCAGAAGTTTCATATTTGCGGGATTAGGATTCGATTCACTAAGATTTCTAGACGGCACGACCGGGCTTGCCGAGGTACTTCCTGGGTCGAGAATTGACGAAAGTTGATTGTTTAGTTGAACGGAGGCGGGCATTCCCAAACCTAGCGGTCCGCTCTTGTTTGGTAGTCCCGAAGATGAATTCATGGACATTTGAAATCCATTAGCGTTCGCCGTTGGTTGGTTCGTTCCACTTGAGTTGGACGTCGCCATTTTGTTGGGCAAGGAATTTGCCTTATTATTGTTGTCAGTCGGATCTTCAGCACCCTGAATATATTCGTGTAACTCTTCCAAAATATCTTGATTTTGCGAGACTAGTGCGCTAGTAGAACCATTCTCGCGGTATCTCGTTTCGGGGAAGAAATCTCCGCCCGTTGAGGGAAATTTAAAATGATGATTAGCGTGTTCCGTGTTCGATGTAGGCACCTTATTGGGATGTTGTAGGCGACTATCGCTTGTTCCACGGTTGCTTGCATGGACCCGGACAGTTTGCGCCATTCAACAGCGCCAAAACACTTTCTATGACACCATGCCGCCTTGGAGAAAAATTCCAAAGCCTCTGAAATTGTTTGTAAACTTCCACGTGTTGCTGAGGCTTGCCTGACGAAGTTTGACGTTGTAGAAAATTACCGCCTTTTCAGCTTGCCGACGGTGAATGCTTTTCACACACTAGCAGCCATCTATAGTCAGCACGTGTTTGAATGACAGGAGAGAGGACGTGACGTCATGAGGGCCCCTAACGATGCGCACGCAGCATACCGGCACATAAATGGCAGGATTTTTCACGTGATATTTCACGATGTGCTTTTCATTGGTTTTACTTTATCGCGGTATTATATCCGAAAAAACTTTCTTTCATCTTCAAGATTTGAAAATGAGTCAACCCTCTTTTCTATCTTACAGCTGAATCGACGAAAAGTTAAAAAATTTATGGCAGAAGCGACATTATAGTTTTATCGTATTTACACGGCCCTAAAAAAAGGCCCACTCGAAAAGGGCCCTCTACATCGCAAGCGGAGATTCGTAGAAGGGGTTTGTATCAAATTTATTCTTGTTATTTGCTTTTTTTTCGATAAGCGCGTAATAGACGTAATACAAAACGCAAATGGCTAGTCTATTTAATTAGGTATTAAAACGAATTTGCTTTGTTAAATACAGGAGTAACGATCAAGCGCTCTAATAAGTGAAAAACGCAGACAGACGGCAATGATATTTCTGGACAAATTTAATCATAAAATTATGCTGATAATGACGCGGTGTGAATAAAGGCAATGTCGATTCAAGCGTCTGAAATGTTTTTTTTTGTTTGTGAGAAGTACACAAATTTCAATTCACCGTTTATCGAAGTAACATGTTGATTATTTGCACAAAATATTTTGAGATTCATTGTTTCAGATCTCTCTTGTTTTGGCTATTCATAAAGAGCACATGCATAAATTATCTTTGACGGAAAGCTTAAAATTTGATGGGAAAATACTTTGCAGATATTTTCCAACTTTCGGTTTCGAGAGCGCTGCGTTTACGTATTACTTCAAACTACGCAATGGAGATGCCGTGATATTTAGAAAAACCGTGGCTGTGAATCAATTGGTGATAAAAGTGACAATGAAAGTGTTGTTGGGTAACGTTTACGAAAATATGTTGTCACGCATTTAACTTTATCTTGCCGAACAGGTGCCGCCAACAAAAAAATTGTGCTTTATTTTGTGTAGTTGGCTAAGTTAAGGCGAAACTGAACCTAAAAAAATAAAATGAAATACGAAAATAACAGTAGAAACGCTTGCAAATCTAAGGCACAACGCAAGTTTCGAAATGTTTTTTTCTATTGAAAAAATGTTGTAAATAAATACAGATGCGATATACTTTTATCATAATCAAGTTAAACTTGATCGTGTGAGACAGACGAAGATCCCGAGTATAAATTTCGCGTGACCGTTGATATTTAAAACATCCTTATTCTTCAATTTCACAAAAGTCACACGACCATGATCTGATCAACAGTGGGGAAGTCACGAGAGTGGTGCAACGCCTGCCTAAAAGAGTTCCAAGTTGCAAAACCAAAATGCTAGTTACAGCAAATTTGAATAACTTATGAAAAATTGCTGAGGAAGAGGTTTTTGAAAGATCGTGCTTATCTCAATTGAAGGTTGAATTTGCAAGGATGTACGAGGGATTTTTCCGCAGGGTTCTTACAGTAAAAGTCATACTAACATTTGGAGAGATGCCAAAAATTTTCATATATGTAACTTATTCCCTTATCCTCAAACATGGGTGTGGTCACTTTCTCTCCAAAACATCATCAGGTACAAAGTCATCGCAAATGGACACACACACACACACAACTTCCATTCTCTCTGACTAAGGGCTAATGCTCAAAACATCAGCTCAGTTTAGACTCTTTTGGGCAGCCAATTCACGTTATTTACATGGCTGATAAAACAAAATAAACTTATCATTAGCTATACCCTTCATTCAATCATTCTTTTTGCTTCAGAACAATAAAAGCCAATCATTTATTTGCCTGTATTAAAAATATACAGTCAAGGAACAGAAAAGTTACTGTCAAAATTAGGCAAGTAAAACTATGTCGAATAAAAACACCAAATCTGTTGAGTGACCTCAGCAAATTGACAATTTCAGGAAAGCTGAACAACATACTGATATAATGACACATCTCACAATTAGAATTACATCCTTGAATAAAATCTCGCATTCTGATTGGTTAATGAAGTGAGGAATTTAGTGTGGAATTGCGGGTTGAAAACGAGGCTATGTGATATTGTTTTGCATCTACTTAAACATAACAATTTGGAGTAGTGCTGTTTCCTTTTTTTCTCAATTTTATTCAGTTATGCAATTCAAGGAAAATCCATTACTTCACATGTGAATTCTGCATTAAATTGCACTTGAAAACCGATATCGCACTCATTGCAATTCGTGCGACATCAGTTTTCGCGTGCAATTTAATGCAGAATTCACTCGTCAAGTAATCAATTTTCCTATAGAATTACAGTGGCTCCTTTCAATGTTCTCATTAAACTGATTGTTATCTCTACTCAGAGAAAACAATCTAATGTCACAGTAGCCTTGTACAAGGTGACAAAAATATTGCAAACAAGCCTCTAGTTTCAAATGGTCATGGCAATGTTTGGAGCTTGGTGTCTTTTGAAACTTCAGGACTTGACTCTGAGAAAAAATAAGGGAAAAATAAGAATAAGCCCATTGCTACATTACAAAATCTGATCAACATGGCTGATGTTTCAATTCTACATTGTACAGTACCAACAGTAAAAAATAGGGAGTTTTGTTTTGCCCATTCACAGATCTTGATTTTCCTCTTCAATAGTTGTCCCAAGCATAAACATAAAAAAAGCAGCAGGTGAAAAAAAAATCGATCTGAGTGCTAGGTGCTCTTTCACTTTTCCCTCATTGCTATGATTTGGTAAGATACCACTAATTCATATCTGACTAACTTTCTGAAGGAAAGGAAGGGAATATAACTACAAAAGGAATCCAAATGAAATGCTTCTAGGAATATAGATGAGATTATTTTAGTAATCTTACTCTAGGTTCTCGGCAGAATCTTGAAAAAGAATTGGCAATTTTTTGTAATTAAGAGGGTCAAATGTACCCTAGGACCCTACTCACATAGCAACTCCCTGATCATGCATCAAACCCCATGGCACAGAAGGAAAGGCACAATGGTAAGACTGGGTTAGAATAAATCCTAAACTCAAGCCTAAAATTTCAATCTTATTGATCCAGATGGTGGAAAAATTAATGCCTCACTTCCATGAGTCACAAATCTGTTACCCATGCCTTAAGGTGAACTTTTTTTCCCATTCTCTGAGATAAAGAGGGAGAACATCAGGCACATACCTAATAACTATCAAATAGATTGATTTTAGAGGTTGAAAAGCTCTTTGCATTTAAAGGAGCAAGGACAATGAATTATAAATTAATCAACAAATCTTAGAATAAATAGGTTTAAGTCCAACATGTGTGGTGATAAGAATGCAATCAAGTACATTCAATTTTCCTTGAAAAATGAAGAAAAAAAACTGAATTTAATTAATATGAAAACAAATTCTGCTTGAAAATAAGCTAGGTAGCTCACATGACTCAATGATTTAGACCCTTCTCCAAAAACCTGGGGGGATGGTTTAAAAGTAATCAAATTAGTATAGGTAATCGCATGGGGCCGAGTAAAATTAAGGATTAATATCACGCCTGTTTTCGGACATTGCTGAAAGTGCCCTAGTCTCGCAGTGATGAGGGCAATTTCTGCAACTTCTGAAAACAAGTGATATTAATCCTTAATTTTACGAGGAACCATGTGATTACTTGTTTATAATATAAGGGGCAAAATGTTTTCTTACTGATCTCGCACAAAACGGGACACCATTGTTACAAAACAAACAGAAATTTCTTTATCTTGGCAGCCGCTGCTAAGCGATTTTCAGCCAATCATTTTCAAGTAATTTTGCCAAGGGAAATTACAAAAATTAAGAAAAAATGCCCTCTGTTTTGACCAATCACAATTCAGTAATTTTGCCCCTTATATGATAAAGACTGGAACCTCTACCTTGCTCAGGAAAAAATCATTAAGTTTCCATTTATTAGCCTATTTCAGGTTCTGTCTTCAAACCCTTTCAGTTCAATTCTCCCTACTGTCTGTCATACAATTCTTGCGATGTTAGTTTGGAGAAAATGTCTATTAGATCAACCAGAAATCTTCTACTTGACATTTTTCTTTATTCTCACACTTGTAATTATAATGATGTTGTAAGGATAAATTCTGTCTTGGTCGCTGATGAGAGATGCAGATGCCCTTTCCAATCCAAAGCCCCAAAGAGTGAAACCATATTCCTGGCAAAGAGAGGTAAAAACCACAGCCTTTGAAAATTACTACACATATCAGCCACCCCACAAATACAAATATTCACTGTAATCTCCTTGTTTTAAGAGAACTCAACTGTCCCTCTGCCAAAAGGGACTCTCAATACGAGGTCAAGTGCCAGTCGATCAAAATATACAAAACATCATACCTCTGGGTGCCTCATATGGAGCCTATCTGGGGAGAGAGTAACCCCCCCTTTCCCACCAGTTCACTGTTTTTTGTTGCGTTACACCCCCTCCAACTGCCTCTCTCTGCCTAAGTGAGAACACAAGTAAGAACTTTATCATTTCTACCCCTAAATATCACAAAAAATCTTGACAGTTAAGCTGTTAATAATAATAATAATAATAATAATAATAATAATAATAATAATAATAATAATAATAACACCTTTATTTTGACACGATAATGTTTAAAGCTGAACAGCTTGTGGGGTCGTGTGTAAATGCAAATAAACTCTAAATTAAATAAATTCAAATGATGATAGTTTTTCAGGAGAGGGGAAAACCGGATTACCCGGAGAAAAACCTCTCGGAGCAGAGTATATACGTAGAGAACCTACAAACTCAATCCACTCATGACGCCGGCTCCGGGAATCGAACCCCGGGACACATTGGTGGAAGGCGAGCGCTCTAACCACTAAATAAACGTAGTTGAGAGAAAATTTGAAATCAAGAGTTGACGAACCACTTAAGCGAAAAGCTCTCTTTGCAATTCTATCAGGATCAGTTCAAAGGCGTGTAAACGTTTTTCATTCATTAAATTCATTTCCTAGTCCGTGTCAGTTTTATTCATCGATCTAGACATCTAACTTTCAATGGATGACAAAGATTCGGCATCCTCAGCCAGATGAAGAACATGTAATCATGTAGTAAATAACAACAAACATACCTATGAACTTTCCACTCCCTTGTTTCGAAAATCTGACAATCTATCGAGGAAAGTGAAAGCGAAGTTTGTGAACGTGCAAAAGTAAAAGTTGCAGACAGTATCGACACTCTGATTACCAGTCTCCACTCGGTACACTTTCGGTAAATTTTGTGACATACGTTGTTCGAACAATTAATTAGCTTGAGATCAAGGTAAGACTCCACCGGCGCACCGGAAACGTCTTCATTCCAGGGAACTTTATTTACCTTATGACTTATTCTGTCTGTATTAATTACCTATGGTCGTCTAGCGTGACCACATACGTCGGCGAACTGACGTTGGCAAACTGACACGTTGGCGAAACGACCAGTTACCCTTCTGACACGGTCAATGATTGACCCACTGGGGGGTTCTGTCCTGGTGTACCGGTTCACAAGGGAATTACCATTGTTCTTTCTTTGTTTAGGAGTTATCGGTTAGCTATTGTGTATTGTTTGGTGAACCGGTACACGAGGACAGAAGCCACTGGGGCTTATATTGATCGGATCGAGTGATAAAGACAAAATTTGTAGGAGTGCTCAACATCAGACAGGCAAGGTAAGGAATCTATTCAAAGCATATACGAGCGTTCTGAATATTTTTTTAAAACTACGTTTTTCAAAACCGGATTTGACCTCATAAAGTTAGAGGTTGCTGACTTTTTGCCACAGAGGTATGTGAACAGGTCACTGAGTGCAGAGATCGACTCTATACGTAAGCTATAGGAGGGGCAGAATAGGGTGATGGGGATGCAACTTTGCCCCACGCCAACAACGTATAAACAATCACTCCTAAGACCCTAGGTTACATGATTACAACAAATATAATTGTGACAATGATAACTTTGGTTGCCAAAATTTCTATCCTATGGCATGAGGATGTTATATAGATGCGTTCCCTTAGTTTGGTTGACACAATTGTTGTTGCCCCATGGATATCTTACAGACTAATGTTTTACATCTACTTTATATGCTTTTCTGCAGATTTAGTATGTTATTTTTTCTTCCCTTTCCAGTTTGGCCATGTTTTGCCCATGGTGGGTGAAAATTTTAAAACCTGAAATCAATTCAATTTGATCAAACTTCCTCCACCCTTCCTTAGGTATTAACTTGAGTAAACATGTCTTAGTTTAAGTGTTGTTTCAAAATATGTGTAGATTTAATGAAGATATCCCTCTTCCTGTAAGGATGGGCATGATGGAGTAAATCCTGTGTTCTGATTGGCTACCCAAGCATGCAAGATGGGCCAATCTTGCCCGCTTGGGATGCCCGCATTGATCCCGTGCATCTTGGACAATTTCAGTAATGGAAACACAAAAAGTGGTAGAAGATAGTCAAAACAAAGAAAAAAAAAGACTCGTGAGTTTGTTGTGATACAAACACAGTTGGCTTTCTTTCCAGGCTCTCGCAGTAAACATGTCATTCCTAATTCTTATTAAAGGGAAATGTTTTTGCAATATAATAAATCCTTTATTAACCAAGCTTGTTTGGTCAAGATGGCTGGATATTGGCCAAGTTCTTTTTTCGCATTTTTGTGGACCTTGACTTTGTCTTGGTCCATAAAAATGCTTAAAAAGAACTTGGCCAATATCCAGCCATCTTGACCTCACGCTTGGTTAATAACCCATATATAGATCACAGAAGACATGGAAATGTGGTAAGAACATTGATGAAACACTTGGCTGCACCCTGTGTACCTTCTTTTGTTTTTACAATATTGTGATATCAGTTGTGATCTTTTACAGATGCATGGCAACATGGAATCTATTTGTTATTTGTTAATCTATTTGTTAATTTTTTTTTTCTTTTCATCAAGGCAGGCACTGATTGGCTGGGATTATGTTGACCATTCTATCAGGAGTTCTAGGATTATTGTTTTTGCTATGGATATTCTCTGACTCTTTATGGCCTGCACCACCTGCATTTGTTGAGAGACAACTTGGTAAACCAGATCTGCCCATTGAGTACAACTTGGTACATGATGTAAGTTGTAAATTGTTATTTAATTTGTTATTTAATTAATTATGCTGAATTTTTATTTTCTGATACCAAATAAAGTAGTCATTAAAAAAATAATAATAATAATAATAATAATCTTTATTTATCATGGAGAAACACTTAGCTGAAAGCTAGTTTTAATTACAGGTTTTCTACCAAACAACTGAAACAAATAATTCAAATTGAAAATAACATTATTAAGAATCCCATCTGGCAAACCAGTCATGGATACAAAATCAGACTACTCCAACCTCCCTTTGTAGTGCATGATTCGTTGAGGCATCCAGAACTTCATCATATGGATTGTGTGTAGACACTGGATTTCTGAAGCCTGTTTTTGAGAGATGTTTAAAAGCCAGGAATCGATGCCTAACCATGTCCTTCCCAGATGTGACTGGATTTAAACATCTTTCTCAACACAGTCTGCTACTTTGAGTTAATTTCAAACTCTTCTGTTTTGCTTTCAGGCCAAAAATATTCCTAGGTTGGCTGGAAAACAATTGCTCTTCAGTAAATGGCTTGGGAAAACTGTATGTGATTATAAATAAACTTAACAAATGTCAAGGCTGAACTTTAATAGGAAAGATTTAATTCATTGAGTGAATATGATTATAAAAAAAGTTTTGGTGATCAATTATTTTGTTGATGTTTCAGAGCCTGGGAAATGTTTTAAAACAGTTTGCATTTAGGTAGGTAATGACCAAGTGTGTCACATTGATATTAATGGATTTTGATAATAATAGAGAGTTCCTGTATTTTCAGATATCACCATTGGTGCCCTGATGGCTCATTGCTTGAGGTAGATACAGAGATAGACAGTCAGACAAATAGACAGAATGACAGACAGACAGGCAGACAGACAGACAGACATACAGCTACGAGTAGGCTCATTGTTGTTAGGGGTTATAGCCCTTATTGGCCCTTGTTAGTGGATAAATAGCTGAACAAACATAAGGAATGTGACCACATTGTACTGACAAATGATTTTATTTCTCTTTTGATAGTGTTATTTACTATGATGACAAACCACAGATTATTTTATGATTATAACTGTAGAAATTGTCACTTGAGTATGTGGGGCTCCTCTGCTTTGATTCTCTCTTCTAGATTATTTTTTTTAGGTGGGAGATTTGACTGATCAGAATTTGGTTTTATAGTAGACATCTATATTATTTTATATCGGATAGCCCCTTCAGTGTAGTAAACACTGGTATCAACAGGGGTCCAGTTACCCACCCATCCCATACCCACCCATCCCACCCCAGGGGAGGACATCCACCACACAGTAATCTTGTGCATGGGAAATTAACATCTCCTGCCCCTAACGCTGCAAGAGACGGGACCTCCATTTATTCGTCCCTATCCTAGAAGACTAGAATATCTAACCATTTCTTGATGTTATAGAAAGGTAGCATATTTTCAATTATTTTACGACCCTGAGTGTTGGTCCAGCCGGGGCTCAAACCCTCGACCTCCCGCACAACAGTCCAGCACTCTATCCATTGAGCTAGTAGCTAGAACAAATGTGTACACACCAAGCTATACAACATATGTAATATGTGAAAGAATCAGAGCCTTATCCAAAGTGAAGAGTCCTGAACACATAATTAAACTGACTTTACTGACAATGCTACTTTCTTAAAAATGTTGTAGAAAAGCAGGATTGGACTTGCTTATAAGAATTAAAATTCCTGATGCTCCAACATTATTTCCTTTGCCGGAGCCTCATCAACATAGAAAGAGCTATGAACCTGTTGACTTTGACAAATTGATTGAGGAAAGGTGAGAGCCAAAAATAGCATACTTTTAACAAACTACCAATAATAGTACATGCATAGCAAAGTCAATATGTTCATACACTTTGAATATTTTATCTTTTTAAAGCCATCAATTCTTGAATATTGTAAGGGAAAATGTACCATGTAGACAAAGGTATGTTTATTGTTAAAAAAAAGGATTCAAAAAGGAATATTTTGATGGCAAGGAATAAGATCTAATATAAAGGATCAGCACAGCCCAGCTAGAGCTTCAATAGTTCCTTTTAGACACACCAGGAGTACAATAAGCTCCCTTTTACAACTCTACTTGAACATGACTTGTAATGAAGCTCTCAGGGAGGTCGTAGCACTCCCCCCTTTCTAATAAGGCCCTCCATCCCATAAACCTGAAATTTGTTGACCAGTAAGTATTGGGGGGGAGGGAGGAGGGCTCCTAAAGTTGGGTGTTAAAGTTTATGGGCTTAGTAGTATAGCAGTCTTTTTTATATTTAGCCAGCTTAAATACAACAAAAATTTTGATGAATAAATAATATTATGTAGATTTTTTTGGCTGATTCTGTTTTTTTTTTCAAATNCCCTGGGCATTTTTACTCGTTGTTTGTATTTTGACTTGCCCTACGGACTCGTCAAAATACGGCAGAACTCGTAAAACTACTCAGCGAAACTACACAACAAAACGTTTAATAGGATATTTATTTACCCCCGGGCAGCTGATGAGACAAAATCGCGCGTCGAGAGTTTTAATATCTGACCATTTTAAGCTATACTGGAAGAACTTAGCAAAGTTTTTGGTAGAGTTTTCATGGTGGCAGTCACGTTTGTTCAGCATGGTTAATTACGTTTGTTTAAATACCTTCTGTGACGGTAGAATACGCCGCTTGTTGTCAAATACCCAAGTACACGCGTCTAATAACGGTTAAATTCAGTTCATCTTTGATGGTAGAGCACGAGTAGTGACACCCAAGTTCTTCTATCGACAGATGATTTCGCTCAGGGAGAATTCGATATATCCGATTACCGTAGAGTATACCTGCTAAGTGACACCCAATTTCTTCCATCGACAGATGATTTCGCTCAGGGAGAATTCGATATATCCGATTACCGTAGAGTATACCTGCTAAGTGACACCCAATTTCTTCCATCGACAGATGATTTCGCTCAGGGAGAATTCGATATATCCGATTACCGTAGAGTACACAGGCTTAGATGACGGACATGTTCGTCTAGTGTCCCTGGAGTACGTGCGGCGACGTACGCTGGCGCTTGACATGATATCCGCAACCTCCCACCCCCTCCCGTTCTCCTTGATAAGCTAGTATGGGCGGGATCGATGCCGACAACTAATTTTTTTTTTTTTTATCATGGAAAGGTTGTTCCTCTTCATAGTAATGAAGGCACCTCGTAGTAGTCTCTTTTTTACCACGACGCAGTCCCTTCCGATGTTGATTGTACAATGGAAGAGACCACATCATGAGAAAAACGAGAAACGTATTTTTTTATCTCTTTGTTGGCTGACAATTTATTTCTACAGGGCCTCTTTGTGCTACTGTGAGAGATGCAGCCTTGGTGTACGGTATGTAACTTAACAATAGGGAACTTAAGCAAACCACGACGGCGACGGCAACGAGAACGTGGAAAAACAATAGATCTAATTGGCAGAACAATAGCGCAGCACGTGCATTTTAAAACTTTATACATTTCATAGCCGTCCTTTGCAAAACAATAACGTGAAATCACCAAAATTTGCGTCGTCTGCGAACCGAAGCCGTGGCGGAAAATTGTTTTAATTTACATTTGGAACTCAACGCTACTTTTATGCGTTATGTTGAGTTTGAGGTCTGGCGCCCTATGAGACGGTAAACACATGCAGCCATTTTCGAAATTCTAAATAAAAGTAGAAACTCATTTTTAATCGAAGTCCTCCGTGGCGTTGCCGTCGTGACTGCTTAAGTTCCCTAATATCAAATTTTGAACTTTTGAAGCCTCCAATGACCCTCGTGTTCACTTATGTCACGCTGGTTATTGTTATCACCAAGCTTTGCTTTCGAAGTTTATTAAAAAAAAAAAAAAAGAAAGCCCCAGACTAGCAGAGATGAAATAGAATGGCACGTGTAGAACAGCATAAAGGTAGAAGAAGTAGGAATGATTTCAGGAAACTGACGCTTGACCATCTGACTTGTAAACTTCAAGCCTTCTTTCTGAACTTTGGAGATATACACTGCTGATGAGAATTGTTAAAATCTTTCGACTTTTCGTTGACTCTTTTCAAATATACCTCTATGTTTAAATTACTTTCAGCATTTTTAGCGGGTAAAGACGAAGAGGACCCAAAAAGTAAGTCTGAAAGATGGATCGTCGCTCTCTTAATGGCGAACTCATCATGTTTACTTGTTAGCATTGGTTTTCGCGTTGGGACAAAACTTATAGGAAAGCCTTCCCAACAAATAAGCAAACAAAGAAATTACGATCAATAGAATTGTTTGAGTTCATGAAAATTTGGGAAGAAAAGCGTGTTGCTCGGGTGATGAGTGTGTAAGATTTCATTATTGGCCAGTTTGGGATAGAGTTCAGTCGGGAGTTACTGTGTTATGTTCTCGAGTGAGACTGGGATCACTGTGCTGTGTTCTCTGGTGATATTCTGTACCTCAGCACCACATCAGTGTCTTTGCCCGAGGTTTGCCGAAATGGTCAGGGCACCTCAGTTGACAGAAACGCCAAGCGGATGTATAACCGCATACTGAGAGAGCTACGATACTTTCAAGGAATTTGGATTAAACAACGACACTCAAGAGCTTGATCACTCTAAGAAGTTAGCCGTGTTTCTATCAGGTTCTTATGTATCGCAGGATTTTGCTGTATGTTATTCTTCGAGAAGCGCACTCTTAGAATTCTTGAGCCGCAAATGTCACATGACTAACAGTTAGTGATCATCCACAGCCCTTGGTCAGCCGGATGTGACTCTGGAAGGATTTGAAAATATCTCAACCCTAGAGGGTTTAACACTTGGTATCGACTGGAAGTACTTTAGGGTATGTTGATTTAAGAAAGAGAGGCGCAACGGCTAACAAAATGCACATGCGCATTTCAATTTTTTAATACTACGAGACTTCTAATCGCGCTTTTGTTCTTGGTCTTTAGTTGTTTGCTTTGTGGATTGCTAGCCAAAGCTATGTTTACGAATTGGAAGTTTCTCTCAAAAAAAAAAAAAAAAAAATCATAGGTCTTGTTAACCTCAGAAAGTTAGAGTGTACCTCAACGGTATCTGTCAGTGTTAAGTCTGGTAAGACTTGCTTTACGTCATAGTTAAAAGAGGGGACCTCTATTAACTATGTTTACATGAAAGGGTTTTTGTGAGCGGAAAGCTTACTGAAGAAGAACAATTACGCTTAAAATGAATCAAATGATCGCGCCTTTTCTCGTTTACGTCAGACCGCCAAGTGACACTTGCCGTTCAAATTTTTTGGATGGATTCTTCTGCCAGTCCATGCAACTTGTTTGTCTGGTGATGTAAACCAAATTTCTCTGTATGCATGACGAATAAAATCGTATGGTATGTATTGTATGTTAACATGATAAAAATAGGTCTTTGATCGTTTTATTTACTTCACTTATTAGGACTGCGATGAAGATGTTTACAAAGAATGTGAAAAAGGTAGCAAATGTACTTTGCTTAATGTCTTAATGAACGTTTATGACTGTTTATCTTAAAGGTGGTGTGGAAGTGTACTCTTTATAATATTGGAAGATTTTCGATGAAACTTATAATTTGGGGCACTTTTATTCAAGGGGACAACTCCACTCTATGGACCTCTTTTTAAATCCCGGGAAAATGTGCCTATAACATTTGCATCTGTTGAAGGGACAACTCTATTCAAGGGACACTGTTAGGTCAACACAGTATACTCGTGCGTGGGAAATTAACGTCTCCTACCCCTAACCCTGCAGGAGACGGGACCTCCATTTATTCGTCCCTATCCGAGAAGACTAGAATATCTAACCATTTCTTGATGTTATAGAAAGGTAGCATATTTTCAATTATTTTACGACCCTGAGTGTTGGTCCAGCCGGGGCTCAAACCCTCGACCTCCCGCACAACAGTCCAGCACTCTATCCATTGAGCTAGTAGCTAGAACAAATGTGTACACACCAAGCTATACAACATATGTAATATGTGAAAGAATCAGAGCCTTATCCAAAGTGAAGAGTCCTGAACACATAATTAAACTGACTTTACTGACAATGCTACTTTCTTAAAAATGTTGTAGAAAAGCAGGATTGGACTTGCTTATAAGAATTAAAATTCCTGATGCTCCAACATTATTTCCTTTGCCGGAGCCTCATCAACATAGAAAGAGCTATGAACCTGTTGACTTTGACAAATTGATTGAGGAAAGGTGAGAGCCAAAAATAGCATACTTTTAACAAACTACCAATAATAGTACATGCATAGCAAAGTCAATATGTTCATACACTTTGAATATTTTATCTTTTTAAAGCCATCAATTCTTGAATATTGTAAGGGAAAATGTACCATGTAGACAAAGGTATGTTTATTGTTAAAAAAAAGGATTCAAAAAGGAATATTTTGATGGCAAGGAATAAGATCTAATATAAAGGATCAGCACAGCCCAGCTAGAGCTTCAATAGTTCCTTTTAGACACACCAGGAGTACAATAAGCTCCCTTTTACAACTCTACTTGAACATGACTTGTAATGAAGCTCTCAGGGAGGTCGTAGCACTCCCCCCTTTCTAATAAGGCCCTCCATCCCATAAACCTGAAATTTGTTGACCAGTAAGTATTGGGGGGGAGGGAGGAGGGCTCCTAAAGTTGGGTGTTAAAGTTTATGGGCTTAGTAGTATAGCAGTCTTTTTTATATTTAGCCAGCTTAAATACAACAAAAATTTTGATGAATAAATAATATTATGTAGATTTTTTTGGCTGATTCTGTTTTTTTTTTCAAATCATTTAGCATAGAAGAACCAAAAGAATCTTCCTTCAAGTTTGTAACTATTCTTGACCTCACAAAGGAATACAGGTAAATTAAATTTTTAATTAATTACATTTGTTTTCACTTGCTTTAAATTTTGAAGCACCACTTTATAACAGCTGAAGTATAAACCCTCAGTTAAACTTTACCTTTAAATGTGTTTTCTTGCCACAGGTCACACACAGTCACTCCAATGCAGATAGCACAAAGAGTGATAGAGATCATTAATGACACAGAGAAACAAAATCCCAAGTTAAGAGCCATTGTCCAGCATGACGAAGATGAAATTCTTAAGGTAGTATTTTTATTATTTACAGTTCTATACATACCAGCTTATTAAAAGCCTTAATGTCTGTTGTGGAATTTTATCAGATGGCTGCAGAATCCACTAAACGGTATGCTGAAGGAAATCCATTGTCTTTCATGGATGGGATTCCTGTGGCCACGAAAGAGGAGTATTTAGTGGTAAGTTTTTTGTGTGACACTTTACTTTCACAGTACTTCCAATGCTGTGCTCTATGAAAAATTGAAGGGAGCCCAGTGCTCTGAAACTGTGAAATCCAGGCTGCCCAGCAGATGCTTTTTATGAAAAAACTAAGATTCCTGAGTCGTCCAAGAGCAAAAGTAAGGTGCCAGGGGCCACTGGGCGCTGCTGGACCACAGCCCTGTACCTCTCCACAATCAGGAGTATGGGGGGGGGGGGTGGGGTTTAACCTGCTGCAGACTTGTGTCCCAGCTAGGGGGAGTAGAAATACTCCTGTTTACTTCATGCCACAGAAACTAGTATGAGCTCCAGCAATTAAATTGAGTCTTGTAAAGCTATTGGTATGTCTATTGGATGTTGCTTAGCAATTCTTTTGCTTCCACATCATGTTGCACAACAAATTGGTTAATAAATAAAACACAAATTTTAAATGAGGTAAGGTGTACCTTATGTACATGTAACAAGGAACATAGATTTTGATTTAAAGGAGCACTCTGATGAAACCGCCCTATAATTTGAAAACCCGAAAAATTCAGTTATTTCATTATGAATTTTTAGTGATTAATAAAGCCTTTTCAATAATAATTTTAGTTGAAAGTCAATTCGAGGGTGAGAAATTACGATTTGAAAACTGTTCTGCCATTAATTTTCATAATCACTTCACAGGCTCAAGAAGACTAAGGCGAGTTTGGAGATTACTCATTTGACGCGCCGTGCTTATGGCTAATTTTCAAAAACAGTATTTTGATCGTCTATATTGCTTTTTATAACACTAATACTAAGACTATTTCACTAAATTTCACGAGGTTTCTGTATAAATATAAATGTGTGTTGAGTAATCCACGTCACAATAGGAGGGACCGTGACGTAGATTACTCATTTGACGCGCCATGATCGTTGCTAATTTTCAAAACAAGTATTTTGATCATATATATTGCTTTTTATTACTCCAAGACTAAGACTATTTCACTAAATTTCACTAGGTTTCCGTACAAATATAAAAGTGTGTCACAGTGGGAGTGACTGCTGACCAAAGATAAGTTGGCCGTGATTACGAAAATTAATGGCAGAACGGTTTTCAAATTGTAATTTTTTGCCCTAGAATTGATTTTCAACTAGAATTATTATTGAAAAGGCTTTATTAATCACTAAAAATTCATATTATAATGAAATAACTGATCTTTTTGGGTTTTCAAATTATAGGGTGGTTTCATCAGAGTGCTCCTTTAAAACTGTCAGTATTATCAATTTGCCAATTTGAGCAGGGAAGTATACAGAGGGGATGAGGTGTCAAGATCCCTAGTGTCACACCCAGTGTGATGTCAACAGTGGAATAAATAACTCTAAAAAAAAAATGTCTATTTTAATGGAACACATATACTGCCAGGCAAATATATTGTTTTGAGGGGAAGGATTGAACATCATCATATAATTCTATGTGGATATGAATGATTTGATTTGCACTAAATCCTTCTAGGTGCCATACTATACTCGTTGTGGCACTACATTTATGGGAAGAACACGATCAACAGAAGATGCTCACATAGTGAAGAAGTTGCGCATGGGAGGGGCAATCATCATTGGCATAACCAACATGCATGAGGTGGGAATTGGGACAACAGGAAACAATCCAAACAGGTGATAATATTAGACTCCACACTATAGTAGGTGTAATCAATTTTTTTTTATCATAATAAAGCTCAAAATTGTCTATTTTAAATTTCTTTGGCCAGCCTAAATATGGGAAACTAAAACATAATGTTCTGGTGACAACATATCACCTGCAGGTGCAAATGATAAATGGTAAATGAACAAAATTAAGTTTGAAATTTTCATTCATTTCATTCATTTTATTTGCCATTACCAAAAAAAAATTAACCAAATACAAAATTTATGATACATCAAAGATAAAAAGAACTATTCTAACTGAATTAACTTCAAAATCAAAGGAACTGAAGAGGTAACAGCAAGGAAACCTATTAGAAGCTGGGGGCTAAATTGTATGGGAATAAAAGAAAATGTATAGTAATATGAAATTATACTACCAAATGTACTTTCACAATTTCTTTTTTGCATATCATCACTAACCATTTATTATTTGTATAATTTTGAAAGTAGAGACATTATTTCACTGAAATGTCATTTTGTAGTACATGTATTGTTTATTTTTTCCCTTAAAAAAAAGGAATTTTCAGTTTATGATAATCAAGAGGATAGATAAGTGGTAAATCTTGGTCCTGAGTGAATCTGAGTCAAATCTTGTTGTTAATTTTATCTGAACAGACTTCATGGAATCCCAAGAAATCCATACAATGTGAATCATTACACTGGAGGAAGTTCCAGTGGGTCCGCTGTGGCAGTGGCAGCAGGTATACCAACGTGTGAAAATGTTTCTAATCCTGTCGTATGTGTTGTTGTTGTTTTCAGTGGAACTCACATTTTCATAAACATTTTTTTGTCCATTCAGGTTTGTGCCCAGTCTCTCTAGGAACAGACGGTGGGGGTTCTATTCGTATCCCAGCTGCAGCATGTGGAGTGGTTGGAATAAAAGGTAAAGTATAGAAAAGTCTGATAAACTCAGCGCTCGAAGCTGTGACCAATTCGGTCACAAGGGTGAGTAGAAAAAAATTTTAACGACTAAAATTCCAGAAAGAGTTGCCAAATTGATAATCAGTGCGTGGCAATCAAGTAGCAAGTTGTGAAGTTTTCATTATTAAATGTTTATGAACTTTCGTTAAAGTGAGATAAACGTTTGCATATGTTATTGTTGGTATTCCTGTCTAGCAGCCATTTGCTTTTGTGTTGCTTGTCCTTCACCTGCCTGTATGGCTCGCTTTTAGACATTAAAAACAAAACAAAACAAAAAACTACTTGGTCTTTCTCATGCCATTGTTACACTGTACCCCACACATGTTAAAGATTTATACTACAAGAGATGTGTATATGTGTCCGTGAATTTTGTTAAATGGTTAGTTAGCTCCAGCACAAACTCAAGACAAGAACCCTGGACGCAGCATGTCCAAAACATCAACCGCGTCCACCATGAAGAGTGGTTAGAGAGCCTCCTCGTAGATCTCCTCCTTCGAAAATCCATAAATTATTTTACTGTTTAGTTATTGTTATTTGTTTATTTTTCTAGCATCTTGTGGCCGCATTAGCACCAGTGGAGAAGTTCCCCTGGCACATACTGTTAGTTATACTGGTAAGTTGTGGTATTCTTAGTTAAATTTTGAAACCCAGTGGCAATTACAAATGTGGGAGTTTATAAAACTGACAAATCTGAATTTAAAATGACGTCAACACAGTCACTTTCTTTGAATGACAACTTTTTGGGAGTCTTTTACACCAATAAGAGTACGTATGATGCACGATCCTCGCAGTGGAGAGCGCTATTTATGCAATAGCGAAAATCAGACCTGAAAAAAATCAGGCCTGTACGGGATTCGAACCACTGACCTCTGCGATACTAGTGCAGCGCTCTACCAATTGAGCTAACAAGCCAACTGGGAGCAGGCCATTAAGTTGATTCGTAAATTAAGCTGATTCATTAAGTTGATGATAAATCAGATATGATGAATATATGAAGTTCATATATTTTGGTTTTCTCTCTTGCATGAATAGCGCTCTCCACTGCGAGGATCGTGCATCATACGTATCTATAACCGCAGTTCAAAATATATGAACTTCATATATTCATCATAACCAATAAGAGTGTTGAAATTATATGGACAACAAAGTAAACAATTACATATAGAAGTGATGCGTAGAGGCTTAGAAACTTTAATTAAAAACTGATGTAAAAAACATTGCTGCAAGTCAATCGTGCGTGGGAGCTTTCATTTAGATGATCACGTGCGAGGGTTTCGTGGGAAGATCCATCTAAGAATCACACTAAGACTAGGTTTACACTAAAAGAAAATGGTTCCGGATTCGTGATGAATCCGAAACGTTTTAGTACCGGATTGATTTTGCCGTTTACGCGAAAGTTGACGAATCCGAAATAAAAACTCCCCGGTTTGGTTGTGTCTCCGGAGATTTTGAATCCGGAATTTAAAATGGGAACTTTGAATCCGATAACTTTTGAATTCGGAAAGTTTTATCGTGTAACCGCTTTTTTTCTCGAATCCGGATATTATTTCCGCCTGCAATCTTTTGAGTTTGCGGTGAAACCAACATGGAGGATCTGGTGCTAACATTGCTGGCGGTCTCCGGTTGCCTAATCTTGTTGCAGGTTCAGGCGATAGATTTTATTACGTGTACCGCAGTATTTCTGAGAAAACGCAAATTATTGTTGCAAGGAAGTTTAACGTCAGCCTAATCGCCGACGACGTAGATGGCTTGGCATCTGTCCAACTCAAATTTGCCTCATCTGGATCTACTTTAACCTTTTTTGGGGAGGCATTTTCACTTTGTCGATCGAACGATGAAACAACACTGGGCTTGGTAACCATTCCATTTCGAATGCTCCCGGAGTTTTCGTTGTGTGTAAACGGTCAGGAATCCGAATATCCTTTCAGTGTAAACGCCTACGTGTCAACA